TTCGGTCAACATTGGTCCCAGCTCTGGAATCCTCAATCTTACAATGGTTTCTGTGTGACACTTTAAAACTCGACCATTAACACTTTTCTACGGAAACAAAGAACAGGATGCAATCTAGTTTGCATATACGCGTGTAGTTTAAACAAAATTTACAAGGTGGACTTGATCGCATCTAAGCTAAAATTGGGAAGACCCGGAGCTTTATGGACGGGGTGGTTATTTTTTTTTTGGAGGAATGCTTTAATCTTTGAATGAATCCTCTCATACAGCGCATACAGTGTAAACATACATTGTTTATTATGCATTCGGTTGTGCACAGCACATACATCACAATAATTGAAGAACACCTGTATAAAACTACAGACAAATCATGTAACATTGTAAACTGCTTTCAATTGAAGTCTTAATACTGTACTTGCCCTTAACAGCATTTATCTGCAAAAAAAAAAGCCACGTGTGACAGCATTTTTATGATGAACCAACCAACATGTAGACCTTCCAGATATTGATACACCTGATATTGATACATCTTCCGTATGTGTCAGTATACACCCTGTGCATGTATTTAGTGACCACCATCAAGTAAATCGGGGTTTAGCTCAACAGGTGTTTAAGGAGTACAAATTAGCAGCTGTGGTTTAAACTGTTAGGGCCTGTTCACACCTAAACGTAGCATCAGTCGCATGATACCATGTAATGAATGCACGCTATTGCACAAAGCACCTAGAATGTGTTGCTCTGCATTAGGTGAATGGCACCCCAATGCCATTCTTGGCAATGCCTCCCGGCCACCGTGCACTGCAACTGCGAGCAACATGTGACAGCAACATTGCAGTGAAAAAATTAGTGCATGTGCTACTTTTTTCCAATGCATGGTATTGCGATACCACGCTTGGTGGCCGGGAGGTGCGTTGTAGTGCCATTTAAATGAATGGCAACGCAACACAACTTGCACAGGTAAAGCATGCTTGAGCGAAAAGCATGCAATGATCACAAAGTATGGTGTGATTAATACAATGCTTAGGTGTGAATGGGTCCTACATGTATCTAAACCCAAATACAAAAATGGATATATTGCAGCATATCATTCCTTCGATGTGGTGGCTGCATTTTTTTTTGCCTTTATTTCCCTTCCCTTTCCCTTTCCTCTTCCTCTTTATTGTCACTTGGCCACATGCACACAACCATAGAAGGTAAATTGTGTTGGGTTGGGTCCAGGTTTGTACAGCCACCTGCACCCATTCACTACTATGGGCAGCTGCACAAACCTGGACGCAACCCAATGGTAAAAATACAATGGCAGCTGCAGGTTGGCCCTTCCATCCATGCTGTTTAGCGTGGATGGGGGGGAATCTGTTCAATGCTGAATGCAAAAAATAAAACAGTGCATGGCCAACTTTAGCCTTAAAAAATGAAAACTAATGCAACCACCACATCTAAGGGCTGGTAAACTGTAATATATCACTTTTTTGTGTTCTTGGGTTTAGATATCCTTGAAGTATGACTATTGGAAGGAAGAGTTAATAAGGAATGTAAGTAAGAATTTGGCAGTGAAAGTAGCAAGTCATTATACATCCTGTTATAGCTGATCGCTGATATACAATATTTCAGCCCATAAACACAACCCTCCTGGATTGAGAAGGATTAAAAGAGTATTCTGGTACTGGTAGCAGTTTAAACAGACTGGCTTTAGGAACACTTCAGCCCTTGATAGCTGGCTGTACGTTTGCAAAGCATATAATTAAAAATATAAGGTTACCCGATGACCATATAGTGCAGACCAACAGCTGCCTGCAAATATTTTTACCATGATTATCCTTACTAAAAGTAAGTCGCAGGGTAAAGATAGTGTGAAACGTGACAAGGCTGAAATAGACATCGCTGCCTTCCACCTAGAGTACATTTTGGCCACATATGGAAAAAACAAATAAGAGTTCCAAGACGTGATTGCAGGAATACAAGTCCTATGGAGAGACAGTGAGGTAGACATGTAGTAAAGCTTTAAAGTGCACCTGCCTCATCGCTGGAGGAATCAGCTATTTTGTGGATTCAGCCAGCCGGTGTCCTGTTGGTTCAGTAGGGTATGATGTCATCATAGGGCTTGATTTCCATTCAGCATTCAGGTTATAGGGCTTGGCACAGGGTGCACATGGGGTCCCACTGAAGCCCAGAGAGAATGCACCAACTGCTATAGAATTCAGTTAGTGGAACCCCATCCAAACTAGACTCTGATCAGCTTGATCTATCACAGGCCAAAGAAAATCCATGAGAACTCTTCCTCAGATTTTGTGAGAGACAGGTAAACTTTAACAGGAATGAGCATCAGGAAGCAGCAAGAATCCATTTGTTGAGTTAATTTATCATGCAATGCACAACATTTAGCTTTAGATTCCTGGGTATGCGAAATCAATACGTTACCAACATAAATATATGCATTAAATGTTGATACAGTTCCAAAAAAGTATAACTAATGGCAATGTTTCATTAGTTTTGGATAGAGTAGCATTGTATCCCATTGGTGAGATTTTGCTTCACTTGCTGTCTCCAAAAACAACAGGAAGTGAGAGGAGATCTCTCTTCAACAGTTGTCAGTAGAACAGGTGTCCCCATTTCACCTCTACTCCTGTTCTAACGACATCTTGTATTTCTTTAATAATTTCTATCCCATGACAGTGGTCACCATGACAAATAGATAGTGTAAATCTCCCCAGCAGTGACAAATATAGCAGTAAGAACCTGATCAAAGGCAGAAGGGGTGTCGCAACAGTGGTGGTAGAGTCCAGAATGGTTTTTATTAATGAAAGATCAACAGGATAAAAAAAATCCAAGTCTACACACTCTCCCTTGTAGGATATGTCCCTTTAGGAATGTTTTGACTGAAATGGGTTTTTATAGATGCTACATCAAACATTTGTACCAGAAGGTAATGCAGCATGGAAATGCATCACACTATGTCCCTTCCAGAATGCCTGGACTCAAAAGGGTTTCACAGTATTTATGGATGTCACATCAAACCTTTGTACCAGCAGGTAATGTACTCTGATGCATTTTCACACTACTTGGTACTGGTACAAACATATGATGTGACATCTATAAATACTGATTTCAGGCATTCCTAAAGGGACATGAGTTACAATGATGATGATGAGTTACGTGAAGAAGGGGGAGTTCGCAAACCCACGAAACAAGTTGGGTTTTTAGAAATCCTGTTGATCTTTCATTAATACAAAACTATATTGCACTATTCTGGATATTGTTGTGGATATTGTTGTGGCACCCCTGCTGCCTTCGACCAGGTTCTTACTGTTTTCTTTGTCCCCACTGGGGATATTTACCCTTTCTATTTGTCCTGGTGACCATTGCCACTGGGTTAGAAATAATATGGGAAATCAAAAATGTTGAGCTGTCACTGGAACAGTAGAAGAGGTTAAATCTTCTGATGTTGGCAACTGTCTTACAGAGGGTTTCCCTTACTTTGGTGAGATCTCCTCTCACTTGTGTGTAGACCCCCCGAAACACGGCTTTTTATATCATGTTGATCTTTCATTAATTACAAACTATTATATTACCATTATTTGGCACCTCTACGGTCTTCCTCAGGACCCCCCCCCCCCCCTCCTTTTTGTTGGGGGGAACTTTGTTGTATAGGAGAGGCCTCATTGAAGCTTGATTAATGAGACGAGTCATTCCCAGTACTAGCCATTAACAACTGGAGATCTTAGTGCCTCTTATTTATGGCTTCTAGCAGTAAGAAGCCAACAGAGGATCCAACCATCTCTGCTCTATCCAAAAACAAACAAACAATTGGATTTACATACACATTAGCACCCTTTCAAGCATATGGTCCGATCAGGTCCGCCTGTCAGTCTTTCAGGCGGATCTAATTGGAAGCCCAATGCTAGTCTATGGGCAGCCGAATGTAAAGGGACGTGCATCCGTTTACATTGAATCACCTCCGACTCTGTCCAGGTTTGGAAAACAGGTGAGTTTTGACAGACCTGATTGTGATGGACCAGGGGTAATCAGATGTAAACGGACACATGTCCATTTACATCATACTCCCAATAGACCTAACATGGGTCTGGTAAGTTCAGTTTTTATCTCCATCACAATGGTGACATCCGTTCCATACAACTCTGGTCAGCAGGGGATCCATGCTCGGATCAGAACTGACAGGTGTCCATGTGAAAGGGGCTCTAATGTTTTGCTCTCTTTCCACCTACTGCTCACTGAAATGGTTTTAGGATATATCCTTTAAATAACGACAGACTTGAGAACACCCTACAGCTCCAGTACACTCAATAGCACCTAAAATCACTTGTGTATTTGATTATTTTCAGCCTCGGGCAGAAAGATCCGTACTTTTAAGTGCTAGACCCTTTACCCAAGAAGGGGTTAAGAGGCATGTGATCTGTGGAGACATAGCAAAGATTGACTGTCAGAGCAGTTCAGAGTTCAGCACTGACAGATCTAAAAACAGATTGGTGAAGTCCTCTTCTCACACTGCACTTTCTGTACAGGAGGTAAACTGACACTCCTTTCAGAGTAACCGAGCGGAGGAAACACTATTGGTAGCTTCAGTCTAACACTTGTTTCCTCTTATCTGCTTTCCCCAAGAAATATGTGCACACTGACATTATTGTGTGCCGCTTGTAAACAGTACAAAAACAGTGTGGTGATTAGCAGCTCAGCAACGGCACCGACTTTTTATCGCTACTGTCGCGACTCACAGCACATTGCATAGCAACACGTTGTAGGCCCGTCCAGCAGCTGTTGAGTTAATAGACTACGTTCCAACCCAATAAAAGAAATAAAATATTAAGGGGCAGGGGGGAATACAAAAGTAATTAGCTATAAATAAAGTTTCTCCTTGAACATATATACAGACTTAAATTATTAAGTTAAATATGTTACATCAGCTCTTGCATTTAACTTTCTTCAAAGTGCACCGAGTTCTGTCCACCGCGGCCTGTTCCCAGGACCCCTCGGGAAAAACGCTGTCAAATCCGAGGCAGAAAATGAGTCAGCGTCATTGTGGGGGACACCCTGTTCCCCTTTTTTGTCCTTCCGTTTTTGTTCAGAGCGATGTACATTCCAGGGTACCGTCTGGATTCGTAGGCATTGTAGTTGTTTGGGAGAAGGGTCTCTTTGAATTTGCATTCATCTGTGAATTGTTTCTGGAGGAAAAGAATAAGGACAGGCCTGTTTAGCACTCCGGTGCATCATGAAATGTTATATCAACAACTTAGAAACCTGTATGTTCCTATACATAGGGAAGACAACCTTGGCAATCCAGCTGTGGTGAAACTACAAGTCTTATGAGGCATTAAACGGCCATGAGAGCCACAGGCATGACTCCCAGAGGCAGATGCGTGATGAGTTTGCTGGAGTTCCGAGGTTGCCTACACCTGACATTGGACATAGTGGTGTTGAGTTTGCCCATGCTGCATACAATTAAAAAAAAAAGTGTGATTTGAAAACATCTGCCCATAAACTCAATAGATGAATCCATTCATGTAGCACTTATAGACATTAGAATGGAGTTTGTACTCATGGCATCTGTCCAGGTTTAGACTAAACACTCTTCAGAGGGCTTCAGATCGTTCCATAAACATGTATGCTCTGCTTAGCTTAATACACATGTTTATGAAAAGTGAGATGGAAAGGGGTCGGAGGTGTAATGAGCACCTACAACCTGTCAGCTAAGCAAATCACAAAAGGAAACAATAACAATTGGAACAATTTTCTAACATGTCCAGTTGATAGTTACCACCAAATGTGGTCAAGTGTTTGGTGCTGCCATAGACAGGAGATTGTTAGCTGATGTGGTGTTTGTCATATCATATGTATGTACGAAAGTCAGTAGTTATAGTCATTGGGTGCAGTGCCTTGCCCACCTACATACAGGCTTAGACAGATTCTCTTAACACAACTTAAATTGTCATCCTCTTTATGCAGTAAACATGTGAAATCTAAAATTCTGACTTTTAAGATCATCCCCATTCCACAATGCAATGTTGGAACCACAGCAATCTTTTGAGAAGCTCTTGTGTTGCATTGCGAGACATGGAGTAGCATGATTAAGTGTTGACATGTTGAGATAATGTTATTTGCATACAACATGTGGTTTGTGTGTAGAGAATTCAGGGTGTCCTGGAAGACCAAAACTTTGTTCAAAGAGGAAAGTATCTTCCAGCACCTCAGGCCACTGGTGTAGGTAAGCTTAACGATGGGTTTCAGCTTAAAATGAATGTCCAGTCACTTGGGGGATTGGGGTTGGGGGTTTGGGGATAGATTGTTCAGTGACAATGGTTTCACCAGACAGGAAATGAGAAGTTGAGCATACATTTTAAAGCAACTCTATTGCTAATATCTAAGATTTATTTAAATGTCTCCCTGTAGAAGAAAATAAATATTTCATTTGCCCCTGCCCATGGCGCAGAATGCCATAGTCTCTTCAGAAACTGACACGTCTGGGAGTATCAATCTTCTGGTCCCACCTGTGCTCGGTAGTTCCTCCTGCCAACCGCTACATCTACCTGTATTGACGTATGGGTTGTCAGGAGAAATCACTGAGTGAAGCATCTTCTTTTAAAGGACATCTATTATTCAAACTTTGAGCTTAGCAACAGAGTTTCTTTAAGTACAATGGCTAAGTAATATCGGAATGGTATTACTCTTTATACCCTATGTTTCTGTGGATCACTACTGGAAGCTCAAATTTCTATAAGCAAGATGAATTGACTTCGAATAAAATTGGCCTGGAATGTGTTTCATGGTATAGATGTGATAGGGACATTCTACAGTATTTGCTAGGAGTATTCTACAGTATGATGTGAATGGTAATACATGCCTCGTAAAGAGGGCTGTGATACATGTGTTATATAAATATAGGAAAATTATACTTCATGAAGAATTTTATAACTGCATGGAACAGATAATAAATGTGTTCAATGTATGGTCTTATTTACAACATGAACGGTCTAGGGGGAACTGTTCCCATTTTACCCCAGACAAGATTAATTAAATTGCCTAGATAGCAATGCAAGGAATGGCATGTACTTTGGAGTATGCAAGTGGTAGCTTGGAACTACTCCGCTTTCATGTTATTAAAAGCTCCCACTTACGTATTCAGTGAACTACACAGCATTACACATCCAACTACTTGTAATGAAGTATACAAATTCCCAGTAACCCATGTGTTAGCCAGCTTGGTAAATAAAGCCAATATGAGAGTTTCAAGCATTTCTTTCTGTAAAGGGGAAATAAAGAGATTGTCTACACTCATCAAAAGTGCTTGTTATCACATCCGAAAGTCTACATAATGTTGGCAAATCTCTGTAACCAAGCACTTTCTTTCCTTTTTATACCTGGAAAAGGGATCAAGCCTTTTCTTAAACTTGTTAAAGATGTCACCAGCACACCATATTGTTTTGACATGAAGATTCAATAAACAGACGTGTTCTTCACTTCAATATGGTGCGCTGGTGACATCTTTAACAAGTTTCAGTATTGACGGCACCATCCGCGGTCACTTCGAGCACCCACGCTGACAGGGATACCCGGTAAGGAGTGGAGCAGGATTCTGGAATACAAGCCTTTCCTTAGGTGCATGTTACAACAAATAATTATATTTTGACACTTGTTATTCTCATGTGGAGTTAACCTTGAACCTTGAGACTGAACTAACACAAGTATCTGAATAGCTGAAAAGAGCCTGCATCGATCAGATGCAGTCGCTATACAGCCAATCATCTTCTACCCGGCTCAGTTATATTGACTTTTGGGTGGTGCTTGCAGTCCAACCCTGCTGAATTGGCTGAAATGAAGGCCATTTATGGCCAACTTTAGACCTTCTTCATGTCTCTCAGTCTTTACTTCTACTTCACAGTTCTCTAACAACAAATATTCCTCTATTATGACTCTTAATATCTTTTCTTAGCTTACCAATTAGAAATACAATCTGACCCACAAAGTTCTAATAACTGGGAAAATGTATTCAAAAGTACAATATACATTTGCATTACTTACTGATCCATATAGCTTTCCTTTTCCATTCATGGCAACAAATTGTCCACTTTTAACACCATACAGGCTCACCACTCCAACTTCCACCGGCGAGATTTCCAACAAACCTACAAAGAAGACATCACTGAGTTTTAACTTTCCTCTTTCATCAAAGTAATTCCATTTTTTTAACTGCTTTTGCCCTTTGTTTTTCTTTTTCTTTTTAATCCTTGATTTCAGAACGTTCTTTGATTCTAGCAGTTATGTCCATGGTTAATTTTAATTACTCTGTGGAGTTTTCACTTTTGTGGACAATTACTGTTGCCTACATATGGCCAGCAAGGAATATAAATGACCAACAATGAATGTTGGATACCCAACATTCCTTGTTCTCAGGTACAGGAAGCCTGATTTGGAAAATATTTGGCCATGCAACTGACAGACAAATGTGACCAGCATTGATGTTTATCAGTAACAGAGTTCACTTAGTACTAGCATTCTCTATTTTTGACAGATGGAAAGATCAAAACACATGTAAGTACACTCACTGCAGGGTGTGACCCATAACATTATGTAAAGTCAGCAAGTGCTTGTAACCTTTGAAGAAATAACTACGTTCTCCAGCCTGGCACAGGTCTAGCTTTTGTTGTTGAAAATGCCCCCAGTGTCACTTCAGAGAAAACTGCAGTAATGTCAAAAGAGCAAAGGCTACAAATGCCAACCTGACTGCTGAGATAGCAATCAGATCATGCTGTTCTGTGCAATGAGGTGATCAACATCTTACTGTTAGGTTGGCTTTGACAGACTACGTTCTCTACACATGACTGTGTGTAGAGAACACGCAGTCTGAAGAAAAGCTGAAGAAAAGCTAGATGTTGGAAGCATAATTCAGAAAGGAAGAATAATAGGGCTTGTGTGATGCTCAAGTCCTTCATCAGTGCTCTGAAGGTTCTGTCAGAGTGTCTTTAGGTGCTTTTGGTGGGTTGTACCATCCAGTGAGTATGTTCCCATGTGCTTAGCTCTTGCAATCTACTGAAGGAATCACAATGGGATGTTATAGTACTGGTAGCCTGAGTACCAGTATCTGTTAATGATATTGTGGATGGAAGTGGCCAAGCAGCATTTATTTTCCAAACTGCTGGCTTCTAATCAAGAAAAACAGAAGAAAAGTGTATATTGATCAATTCAATAATATTGATGTTTGGTACCAATGGCCAAATCATATATGGAACAATATAGGCTGTCATACAAAATGCGCGGCTTTAGCTATAGAACAAACATATCTTCTGTTCTAGTCATCTTATATGGTGGAGTCTCCCATGGATCAAAAAATAAGCAGCAGTCCATAAACAAGCCAGTTCTCCGAAGAGAATGTGCAAAACAACCTTTCGTTACAAGAGTGCATATGGTCATCTGATGGCATAATCTCTTTTCACTAAATTCTAAATAAAGGACCCTAATTCACAGGAAGAGTTTTGTTTGGTTATACCTTGATATCACATTTTGTTTTACCAATAAAGTCCTATGGTTGAGAGGAAAACATTCTTGGTAGAGGAAACTATAAAATATGCTTTCCACCTTTTGTGGCTAAGATGAAAGCTTCACTTGTAGGGGGTGCCTGGAACACATTTGATAGCTGTCAAATCTCTGTATTAAGATGGATTTCCTGTTTCATTATGGTAGGCTCTAAGTGATATCACTTTGTCATGTATAATTCCATTGCAATCTGCTACTAAATGTAGCCAAGTGCTCCTGTGGAAAATGGCATGAGCCTCTTCCTCACCAGCCCTTGAATACATGTAGATGAGGACAATTAAACTTATAATAGGCTTGTTTAAATGTTGCCAGAAACAATTTATTTGATCCGAGATCAGTAATGTGTATTGAGCAATGTTTTATTTCCTAAAACTGAAGCGTTCGAGATGTACAGAAAGTTTGGTTAGATGTCCTTGTAAAAGTAGAGCGCTTGTCTCCACTGCATGGCTTGTTAGTGCTTTTCACTATATCAGCCTTTCTCAACATTTTTTTTCAGTTGTGGCACCTTTTCAAAGTATGAAAAATCTTGAGGCACATCCAGTCTAATTCCCCTTCACATCAGAGCCCCCCTCTTACATCAGTGCCCCCCTTTACAGTCCTCCGTTACCCACTATATCAGAATGCTACCCTCCCAAGGTTTTGAGGCACCCCTGAGGAAGCCAAAAGGCACCCCCTGGTGCCACAGCACACTACTTGAGAAAGGTTGATCTATATAACAGATTCCCAGCTGAGCTTGACTTCTGAACATCACAGTTGCTTACAGGAAAGCAGTTTTCAAATATTTTACTCTAAGCAAATGCTTCAGCTAACTTATAGTTGTTCAAGCATGAACCCTATGTGTGAATAATTGCCAGTTGATGTAATACTACGTTGTAGATAGGATAGCGTATACGTTAAAGCAATGATGACATGAAAAGCTACATGGCAGTAACCCACACCACCCAGAACCCTCTTTCACTTCCGTCTGATTGGTTGCCATGTTTTACTGTATGATGCATTGCCTTATGATACATGCAATGCGTCAATCAAGATGCATTTCCAAAGGTGACAGCCGGCGTTTGTGTTTCTTTTTACATTCCTTACATGTCAGTTTTTGTGTGATGACCACAGGCGCAGTACACACACTCTCTCAGTTAACCTGTCATGAATGCACCTGAGCAGGGCATGCTGCGTTCAATTGCATTGATGTTATGGGCGCCCTACTGCACCTAGAGCTTTTGATGACAGTTAAGACTAACTTTGTACAAAGCGACTTAAGGGAAAATGTGCCCAAAAACAAAAGCCCAATCACACACATCACAGTCACCACTGTACGTATACATTACATGGATGGGTAACTCAGATTAAACCATGCTCAGGTGCACTAAATAGAGATTTACTGCATTTGCTGCTATCACATTGCTCTTTAAATCCATTTATTCCAAGTATTACATCTGGAAAATATTACTGCTGATTAAAATTGTTTATATTTTTACTTTTTCATCATATCAATTATTTTTTTGCCATTTTAAATAACTGAATATGACATAACTGAGAAACAATATATTAGATATTGCACAGAAAAGTTCCAGTTTGACCCTATCACATAACAAGCATTGTATATTTGGCAGAATCAGTACAATATAATTTAATCTAATTGTTTTTCAAACTCAGTATTCAGTCAAATATAATTCAATCCAATTGTTTTTTAAATCGATATTCCGAACAACAATTTATTGAGAAGCAATATGTTCATTTTTTAGAACAAATCTGTATAGAGACTATTTCATGGCAAACCTCTTAAACCAAATAAAGTTATTTTCCTATATCATTATAAAAATGAATGGAAATTATTTATAATACTGTAAAAGACTGCGGGGGTCCCATAATGACTTTTCAAAGAACAACCCCAAATGTGCTCTGCCTAATGATCACCTGTTTCAGGGATACATGTCCAAAAACTATAAACCTTCCAGCATTAACTGTACCCATGTTGTTATAGGTCTAATGTCAATTTTATGGTCTATTTATTATTAAACTTTGCCCACAAAGACAAAATACTTTTTTTTAATAAAATGTTATGCTAACAAAACCAAGACCCTGTTATTTGTTTAAATATCTTGTGCCCCCAAAACCAAATCCTTGTTATTTTTAAAAAAATGTTGGGTTCACCATGCCAAAATCTATTGTTTTAGTTATGTTATATTGTGCCCACACAGCCAACATTCTATTATTTTAGTTGTATTGTGTTGCACTTACAAAGGCAAATTATATATACAACAATGTTAAAGATGTTAACTGTCCTGGCAATTATTTAAATAATTTTTAAAACAATTTTAAATAAGTGTAAAAATAATTTTCAATGTAACAAGCTATTATACACATAAGTGAACATATTAGTATTTCTGTAGCTCATGGTCACTATACAATTCCCATGCCCGCTGCAAATCCACAGCTTTGAGTGACAACTGTTACTTGATTCTCCGAAGTTTCTATGTCTGCCCACCAAGTATGTACTGAAACACAGCACCTGACATCAGCTCGTGGCTTATGAATTTTGTCCCTGCAGAAGAAGGGTCCCTGCAGACTACTGAAATGAGAGATTATCACAGCTCCTAATGCCTTTATTAGTTCCCCTTGAAGAAATCTGGTAAATACAACGTTTCCAGCACTTGACCTATCACTTTTTAATTCTTTTAATATAACATTATCAAACAAGCAAGGCAGGATCACATTTTAAATGACACTAATCTCGCAAAACACAGACTTCTTCTAACCAAGCAGAACACAATCCAGTCTTGGCTTGAAGTGTCGCTTTCCTGTTACTGCTTCATTTAATTATTACAATTAAGTTTATCTTAAGTTCCGCAGCTTTGCCCTAAGCTTTAGGTGCTACAGCAAGATCAAGTGAAATCAGTGTGACTAACCTACGCAAGGCAATTTTACAAGATAGTAAAATAATCTCTAATTTTGTATAGTTTAGAAATGACCATGCACATCGTAATAAAAAGGAAATAGCCTTAACATCCTGCACCATTGTTGCATTTAAAAATCAATTTTCAAGCAAAATATGAAGAAAAACATTATACTTACTGTACAGATTTTCATTGTGCATCCCATTTATTCTTCCATCGGGCAAAACTTGAATATGAAATCCGATGCCCACGTTGCAGTAAAGTCGTCGTAATCGCTTGATGCCCAGCAAATAGTCACTGTCCCGGTTTCCGTCTTTTCTCTCTCCTGGCATCCTGGCCATTGAGAAAAGCGTCTCCCAGCGTCGATCCAGGGTGTCATTTCGTTGGGGAGATAATAGCGGCATGCAGTGTACCATCCCCGAAACCAGCACCAAGAGTAGGATTGGCACAAGCGCCGATTGAACAGTCATCCTGATCAACGTGGGCACACGTGGTTTAAGGAGTCAATTGCTCTAAAAATACCTCAACTCCAGCTCCACTTATACTTAGATCAAAGAAACCAACTGCTTAGCTCAAAAGGAGGTGGGGTTTTCTTAGCTTGCATGGAGTCTTCTCTAAAAAGGGGGTTGACTCAAGCAAAGTTTATTCGAACTTGATCTCAACTTGTCGTTAGCTGCTGGAGACTTGTCTGAAGTGTTGATCTTCTCCAACAGCTCAGCCATAGCATTTTACCACTGACCACGATATTTATATCCACCTCTGCTCATCTCCCAGCAGAAGCTGACAGACCAGTCACTGAGCAGACAAGAGGGAGAGGGAGAGAGCAGGGTCACTATATTCAAAGCATTCAGAGAAACTGCTCTTATTGCATCTATTCTATAGATGAAAGCAATGCATTCAAGCAAATGCTGCAAGTTAAAACATTGGATCTCCTCATTCTTATAAAAGGCATCCCGCAGATAAATAGATATACCTGCATGGATACTTTTTCTTTGTTTTTTTTTTGTTTTTATCAGATCATTCTGCTGATTTTTTTTACATTTTAAAGAAGCTAAAGTTATAGCAAAATTTTTTACTTAAGCTACAGAAAGTTTTAAAGCCAGTAGAATTTTGTTTGGAAAAATTTGCTTTTGTAACAATAATTTGATTATTTAATAGTTACCGGGGTCAAACTGATGATCATTTTGAGTGCAGTGATGAAAAAAAAATCAAAGGAGCAGAATGCAAATTTTTGTTGAAGGAAATTCTAATAGATTATGTGGTTTTCTTTCGGGAAACTCCATTAATTACAAAATTTTATGTTAAATTCAAATGGAATTTGGAACAATGCTCATCAAGTCTCTGTGGACATTATGGAATGTCCAAAGAGATTTTATGTATGAACGTTTGTACAAAAATCTACCAGCGTACGGCCGGCTTAAGCTGAGTAGACCACAAATGAAAATGCCAGCTTTATAAAAATAAAAAAATGATGCCTGTCTACTTGCTATATGAATTTTGCTAGTCTCAGGCCCAATTAACCCCTCATTCACACCTAAAATTTTGTGGTGCGTTTCCCTTACACTTAGCATTAAAAATACAATTTTCAAAATTCTCACCTGTTCATATCTTTGCGCTCAACCACTCGTAGCTTGAAGCCTGTAATGCGAAGAAGTACACAAGCTTAAAAAATTGTCAGAAGCAGAAAGAACGATTTACTAGGATTTGAGAATGTTCATACAATAAATTTGTCGTGATTCACTTCAATTAACCAAACACGTGAAAAACAATCCCTGTTTACTTATTTGATCTGCACATGATTGAAAATTAAAGTGAGTATTCAGGTAATTCATTCTGTGAACATTCCTAACACCTTTAGCAAATCAGCCCCATTCTGCGGTGGATTAGGATGATAAATGCGAGGATTACGATCAACTGGCACAACGCTGGCAGTAATCAGGTTATGTTGGAGCTAGCAGAATGACTTCTGAACATTGCTAGTTATTCTGATATGTTGGAAAATCTCTGCAGAAGGTTTCCCTTATTTTCTCCTTAGGAAAGGGAACGCGGGTGCTTGTGCTGCATTTGTTCATTGATCACCGTGGAACACCTGAAAACAGAGACAGAGCTTTGATTATTTCCATTTTGATACAAGTTTTGCCATCTGAGACGTTAGCTATAATATTATGTGTCCTTACGAATCTTTTATGATGTCATTCAGCTCAGCCTAGTCAGACAGAATCCACAAGTGTGTTTCAGTGCCCCCTATCCTGAGATTAGAAGGAGATCTCTTTGCCTTAAGCAATGTTGCTGAAACTGTAGGTGTGAAAATCTGGGGGCCAACCTCCTTTGCAAACAGAGCTTTCTGATTTCTGTCCGTGCAATCCACAATTGCTTACTGCCACAACCTTATTCGTAATTGCTTTATATCCCATCTCACCAGTTTGTAGCTTACCCGAAGACAGGCAGTTCTCTCATTGTGTATGACATGCAGCTAGCACTGCTGGAACACTCCACTACTTTTACCCTTGACTCAGTGACATTCTGTAGCAAGTGTGCATGTGGTGAGACCTTCTTCCTCTTTTCTAGGAAGCAAAACAAAATTGATCACTTAAAAATTCAAACAAATTGGCAAACCTCTATATGTGCCCTTCCACTTCATGCAAGGCTTAAGGTGAACCTTAGACAGAAAGATGAAATACATCTAAGAGAGATGTAGCTGTAGTAATCCAAATGATTTGTATTTGTGTTCCATTCAGTTCTGAGATTTACACAGCCCTGCCATGCAACACAGCCAGGTAGGTAATCTATATATATATATATAGAGAGAGAGGGGGAGAGGGAAAAAGGGAGAGGGAGGGGGGAGAGAAAGAGAGAGATGAGTTATATATATATATAAGAAATACAACAGTGTCCTCCCTCCACCTCAATCTGCTCATTGGACAGTGAAGGAGCAGCTGCAAACTAATAAGGTCTGCTCACTCTGCTCTCTTTCCCTATCAGCATGTTTCTTATTAGCACATTTTCATGCAGCACACCTGATTGGCTCTCAGCACTGCTCCTCTCTTTGCCAGCCTAAGTGCTCCTGTAGATGGGATTGCATGGAGCTGTTAACAAGTCAATTTCAGGTACTGCCACTGCTTGTATTTAAAAAAATATATTTAATGATTTTATAATGAATGCATGGCTGCAATTATGTGAGTATGGTATATCTTCCTGGAGTTCATCATTAAAGTCCATTCCAGCTTTTTAAATTGTTCAGCATAAGCAGCTGTCGCTGCACTACTCACCCTGTCTCCAGCAATACTCCCCTGCTCTCCAATCCTCTTTTATGCTGGTCCTCGTCTGTCCTGCAGAATACCCACTTCCTATGAGCACATGGCATCAGGGACCTCCTGGACCTCCAAGGACCCCATGGCGGTACTTTATGAAGCCACCTTCAGCTCACAGGAGAATGCTGCACAGGAAAGAATTCGGTGCCGCATCCTTCGTTACTTGCAGAAAAGGTAAGTATAAAAAACGCTTTAAAAGAGGCAGCAAAGGATGCTCAGAGGGGGTTAGGGCAAATAATAGGGTCGGGGCACAGCCTGGGTTTGGACTTTAACTCTACATGGCTCAGATGGAAGAAGTTTTTAAACTGCTTTAACTGCTTTACAACTTTTGAGTTTTGTGCCACATGTGATTTCCCAATGACCATATCGACACAATGGCTGTAGTTCTGACCTTTGCCAAGCAGCCCTTGGATCTCAGGTGTACATGCACTTACAATATCACACATGGCAGCAGGTGTGGCATTGTGTCATAGTGACCCAAATGATGCATACAACATTTGGGCCACGACTGCCTGCAGCTCTTGTTTCCATTGGTGTTTCAGCACATTTAGTGAGCTTTATAGCCTCTGGTGAATCTAAGATGAAATATCTATGACAGAAAATATTGTGTAGTATGTACTTGTAGTGACAGTCGTGTCCCTAGCATATTCGCTGCCTTAGGTGGTGGGTGGGGTGTGTTGATGCACGTTCCAGCGAGTTGGTGGTGGAGGATATGCAGTCGGTGCTCGTTCTGTGGAGGGAGGAAGGGATGCTGGTGGTGCTTGGTAAGGGAAGGGGATGGATCATGTCACCGGTGTCCCGCCCAGCTCACTGACGTTACTGGTTGCCAGGAGCTGGCCAGAAAGGAGGTGGCAGGCACACATGCGGCTTTGCCTGCCGCAAAATCTACCCCCCCCCCCATGTGACCCAAAATATGCTCAACAACCAAAATCCCATGGTTTTAAATTGTGCCTGTTCACATATGAGAGCTCAGATGCCTGTAGCTCAACACCTGAAGCACAAAATGGTACATGAGCTACTTTTGAAGAATAGGACTTTTTGTTGCCCAATAAACATCAATGGAAAATTAGTGTTTTTCAGGCTAAACAACCATCTCTTCCTGGTACCTAGCTTTCCATTGGCTAAAACAAATGCATTCAAGCTTGAATATGCCTGAACAAATGGGCAACAACGCACAAATTAAAAATGCTCCAAATTTATCCTCATAGTTCAGGCCGACAAGTGATAATGAAACTGTCACACGTCGGCTCAATAGATCGGGAAGTGAGCGAACACATACCATCGCTCACTCACTTCTCTATCATCTCCCTGCTGAGTGCGGTGACTATCAGTCACCTCCCCCCACAGGTATTCCCCCCCTCCCCGTTCCGATCCTCCAGCGCTGACCGGAAGAACGGATGGGGGAGGGGGCGGGTACAGCAGGCTCTGCCTCTAGATAGGCAGAGCCAGCTGTCATTCACGCAGCTGGGTGGATCTCAACAGCATTGCCGGGATCCGTTCTGGCTGCGGCGGTCTCAGCATACCGCAAGCTGTAGCTTGCTATATACTGAGCTTTGGGTCATGGGAGGATGCTAGTATAATAAATAAACCCATATGGATCAGAAACACACTTGGGGATTTGATGTAATATTTATGTTATTGGTATTCATTCCTGAATTCTTATTTTGAATCCTAGCAAATTCCCGTTTTTTCTTTTTTTTTTTTTTATTTTTAGAGTTTGAATTCGAATAAATATTCTTGACAAATGCGTGCATCAACGTCAAGTGAGCTGTCAGTTTGTTTCAGTGTTTAGTAAATTTTTCACACACAATTAAGTTTATCTCAAGTGATCAACAGATTATACAGTATGCTCCTTGAATTACATTATACATTAAAAGTTGTGAAGAGCAATAATTGATGTGCTAAACAATCATGTGTTGCTGCTTTGATATAATCCAGACTAATTCAGTCGATTATCTCCCATTAGGTTGGCCACACGTGGAGCGAAATTTGACTAATCTCAAGGCAGTCAAGAAAGACGTCATTAGGAAATCTGCAATGGGAATGGAAGGAAAACCTCAAGTGGAATTGAACGTTCTGGATTATTCACTAACCTTGTGGATGAGATGGTACTGCAGTTAGGGATTTTTGTCAAAATCATTTAAAGGAGAACTATGAGG